TATATATATATATATAGTAACCATCTTAACCTTATTTTGTGTTAAGTATTTTTCATATCAATTAAGCTTCCTAATTATAAATCCCATAGCAGATTTTTTTTTTCATTTTTACCACAGAGATTAACAAAGTGCCTCATTAAAACTCCAATCAAACTGATTTTTGAACTGGATATACTGGGTCATCAAAAATGAAATTTCTGCAAGAGCTTTCTGTCTATTGCTGCAGAAAAACATCAACAACAAATGCTGGCAAGGATGTGGTGAAAAAGGAATTCTATATTGCTGGTGGGGATACAAACTGGTCCAACCACCATGGAAAGATGTTTGGAAATCCCTCAGATTGAAAGCAGGAATTCTTGCAAGTGTTGAATACAGAAAAGTCACTGCAGGGCTCAGCATAGTGAACATCCCTGTGTACCGGCAAATGGAGTGAGAATTTCAATGGAAATCACATGAAAAGCCAACTGTGGCCTCAGAGGTCAGCCTGGGGACCTACAATCAGGTAGTTCAAGCACTTGTAGTCTTTGGACACATTCTGATGATCTGCAGAACCCTGCTCATGCCTACATAGAGAGAGGAACGGGGAAGAGGGCAGGGAGATAAAGAGGTTATAACAGGCAGAAAGAAATGGCAAAAACACTACGTGCTTTTATAAATCCCAAATGTGTTTTCAAAAATAAGAACAGAAATTTAAAGAACAGTGAAAAAAAGAGACAAAAGAAATATGAGCGAGGCATTAGTTTGTGGTGTACAAATACTACTAAAATTTGCACATGATATATACTGGTGAATTTTAAATCAACTCTCAAGAAAGACTAACGTGACCTCCTCCAGGCTGAAAACATCTTCTGAGCCTTTAGAAGAAGGAACAGTTCACATTCCAGCTTTCACTGAGGCATTCTGTAAATACTAGGGAGCTGATTTGCTGCACAGAATTCTGTCTGATCAAATGTTAAACAATAAGGGGGCATGGGCAAGACTTTTCAACAGGATCCAAAGCATTTATAATTAAAAAGAACTCGTGAGAGCTCTCCATGTTTCTTAGAAACAGAACTGTAGAACTAAAAATTGCGAGGGGTATGTAGATACCTTGATTGGGGGTTACAGACTCTGTTACCAATTCCCTTAATTCTGTGATGGTGCTGTGTTATTTGGCCATATCACTTTTTAAAACAGCAAAATCACTAAATTACAAATTGTAGCAGTGCTAAAAATGGTGACACTAGAGACTCAGGAAATTCTGTACCCTCTAACCTAGGTTATTACATCTCCTCCTTAGATAATCTGAAATCATCAGCTGGGGGGTCTGTGTTATAACCCAGTCTTCACTGTAGGTCTCCTATGTAAAATTTAATAACTGAAAGGCACTAAGCCAGGATTTAATTTCCCTCTCTCTCTCTCTCTCTCTCTCTCTCTCTCTCTCTCTTTGTTTATTCTGACATTGGAATAACAGAGGGGTTGCTTAATCCTCTAGAGTGAAAAGTGAAAATTTTTGTTATGTTCCTTCAAGGGATTTCACATGTCATTGCTTCCTCCTCCCAAGAGAAATGGGGAACAGCAGTAATGTTTGTCATAGGTCACCTGGATTATATCTCTGTTAGGGAAGAAAAATCAGCAGCACTTACATCATTTTCAAGAGAGTCATGAAGAAACCAAGACAGGATTATATTTGTCTCTGTGTGTGTGTGTTTTATAGAGAGAGAGAATGGGAAATCTCTAAGGCATGATCAGTTCTCCTTGTGGCTCTCAACTTCCCTGGGAACCTCCCAGAAATTACTTTAAAAGCCTGGACAACACCATACAGACACCTGGGTAATGCTTCAGTGTTCACAGGGAGTTCATGTATGGAATTTGAACACTCAACATTGGGTAAGCTTTGAGCCCATTTTTAATAAAATGTTCTAAGTATCTGTGCAAGCACATATGCTGACACAGACAGCCAGAACAGGAAAGCCAGGGAAACAGTGGACGTCAAAGACACATATAAATAAGATTAGAAAGTGAGGTTTAAACACAGAAAATAGAAGTTCCTTAGAAAAAGAAAATAAAAATAGAAAAGTACCTCTAAAATGCTCAAATGCAACCTCATTTGAAGGAAAGGAAGCTGAGGCCTGTGAAGTAAATGGCTCCAAGCCACAGTCATCACACACACCTGATCCAGTATCCTCATTTTTCCTTTCTTGATGAGTTAGTCAATTTATACAAAATAAATATGTAAATCCCTAAAGTATCCTTTCCACTTCTTAGAATCTGGGTTTGCATAAATTTTGAAAGGTCATTCAGCTCAATCCCCTCTCATCTACTTCAGAGATACAGCAGACGTTCACTTTCCTTGTTTTTTTCAAGGCCTAGAAAGATGATACCACTGTGGGGGTGACAGGGTTGCTCATGGTGGGATGGTGTGAAAACATACATTGTACAGTTTTGAACCTATAACCCTCAAAACAAAGGTGAAGATGTAAACCGACTTTACTACCATGAAAATAATTGAAAAACAGAAAAGGCAAGTTAACAACCATTTTGAGATGGCCAACATTTTTTCATTCAAAACAATGTTGAAAACCTATAATGGGTTAACTCACTATGTCATGTCAAATGGTGAGTGGATCAATGTGAAATGAAGCCAGCTTTCAGGAAGTCTGTAGCTAATAGGAAAGATGAGCTGAGGCATGCACTAAAATCATAATATCAAGCTGACAAGGGTCCAAAAATTTCTACCAAAGTGGAGAAGATGATGCTGTTATTCTTAGCTAGGAGATCAAGAAAGTAACTTATAGGCAACTCTTGAGATTATAATACATAAAGATGCAATATCATTTCAAGCTAGGGACTGCAATCAAAAGCAAAGCAATACTGGGAGAAAACACAAGTGGCGTACATTTGCAAAACAAACAAACAAAAAAGCAGCTGCAGAGACCATGGGATATAAAATTAGACTGGGCAGATTTAATGCAGACTGTGAAAGATATCTGGAGCTATATAAAAGGTGTCTTATTCCTTCTTCCTGCAGCTCATATGAATTCGTCACTTGTCCATTATTCAAAATTTTAAGCAACTTGTAGGTCATGGGGACCATGGAAAGAACTGGGAATGCAATCTAAAACCTACCTGATGCACTGGGAATGACAGGTAGCAATGACCGCTGCATAGCTGGAGAAATGTCATTAGGTGCACAGGGTCACATGTGAGGACATAGGACCCTGAGAGGCTGATAAGGGGATACTAACAGAAGTTGTCAGAAAGGCAGAAGCCACCGGGATAAGTAATCTTCACCCAGAGAGGGCGGGTTGCTCATGCAGGTAAAGATAACAGCATCCCAAAGTATGAGAAGGTCTAGGTGTTCAGAATAAAAAAAAACACATTTTAACCCAAAGCCAGAGAAAACTAGTATGTATTTTCATGTCCAAAATGATATTTCAAAAAAATAAATCTGTCAGCTGCATATATAAAATGTAAAGTGGAAATAACTATAAAATGCTTTGCTCCAGAAGGGAGAAAAATAGCATAAAGGACCCAAACTTGCCAAATTCAAGTAGGAATATACAAAATTAATTCAATAGAGCAAAAATTAGTGAACAACGGAAATGTCAAACACTTTTTAGCCTAGAATGAATCAACTGAAACTGAGCACTATGCAGGCAATTCAGGGGTGGGGCAATATTTAAGAGGTGGAAAGCAGATGGACTCACACTGAAGGGAACAGCTACACTGTGTGGGCGCAGCAATAGTGGAATGATCAGTAAGGCCTCTGGTGACAAAGACCAATGCTGTTCTCAGGGGAGTGAGGCGAAGTGACTGGCTTTACAAGCAGACTACTCTGGAAGTTAGAGAACTTGAACAGGTGGGAGGAGGAATGCTGGTAATTTGAGAAGCATGTTTTTGGTAGAGGAGACTTGAAAAAAGGTTGGAGTCAGAAAAATAAAATCAGGAGAGGATTTAATAATCTTTATTAGCAGGAGGTTCATATTTCCAATTTAAGTCTACAAATCATTTTCTCCTGCTTTGTTCTTAAAGATCAAGAAATTTAATTTGCCATCCTCTAAATGTGAAGACCTTCCTATATACGGGGTCGATTACTAAATTACACCCCAGTCTTCACTTCTGATCCATCAGTCCTTGTGAGTTGTAATCATCTCTGTGACTTTTCCTTTGTGACTTTTTTCATATTCTACAGATTCATTGTTAGGTAAAAAATCTCATGAGAGGGTCAAACAATTTAATAAAGGCTAAGCCTACACTGAGGTTTAAAAAGCTACTTCTATGATGACCTCTCTATACTACTGGGCTGCAAACTTATTTTGTTAGTTTTCAAAGCAGAAGAGCCATTTCATCTAATGTTATCATTGCAAAATATAAGTTGTTCTAACCAGAATGTGAAACAGAGCCCTAGTCATTAGCCATTTCTCTTCCCCATGGTACAGAAGCCTCTGACTGTACACCAAGGAGTTCCCAGGGCTCTGAAAACCACTGTTTTTAACATGCAATTTTATATATCCAGATGTTATGTTCGCTATTTTCTATAATACAGAATAGTAGTCTCGAATATTAGCTATGTTCTATTAGTTTCTAACATTTTCCATAGAGTACTTAGCAAAGTATTTTTCTACTATCACAGAAAAAACACTGCCTTTATCACTTTATAAGCTGTAGATATTACCTAAAACCTTCACTACTTAGATATATTATGTAGAATTCTAATCACATAATCCCAGACATTTGCTCCCTCTTTTATAAAGAACTTCAGGTCTTCAGGACAGCCAGGAGCTTAATATGAATACTCATTTGAAGCCAGGTCATGGATGAGCAGAGAAGCATGAAGCCTGATCCAAAGACTGTGTTGTAAATAAAATGTTTCTTCTTTTTCTTGCCAAAAAAAAACAAGGTCAAAATTCCTTATCTTATCTATTTAATATCTTAGAAGCATTAACTACAAGATGTATAATATATAAAATGTGATAGAAAAGAGCCATAAAAATATGTATGTTCACCTTGATACTAACCTAATAAATTTAACAGCCAGGCCCAGGTCAGCTATGCAGCAAGTACCATTTTTCTTCACCAGGATGTTCTTACTTTTCAGATCTCGATGGGCTATTGCTGGTTTGCCTTGAGTACTAAAGATTTCCGTGTGCAAATGACACAAACCACTGACAGAAGAATAGGCTAGCTTCAGCATCGATTTAGTATCTAGGGTGGTGGATTTTAGATAATCATAGAGGGAACCATTTTCATGATAGTCTGTGATTAGATATAGCTGGGTCCAGGATCCTGTGCCTTTGATATCTGCAGCAATGAACCCTAAAATGTAAAAAAGACAAGAAGGTTTGGAGCAAAATGTTTTACAAATATTATCAGTTCATATTCTAGAATGCCATTCTTTTTGTCTTAGAATGTTTAGCATTCCTTTCAGTTTTATGATTACCTCCATGATAGTATTAACTTACTAGTACCAATTAAAGCAATCAAAATAATGGGAGTAGAGAAACAGAAAAGCATTTGTACCTGGAAACCTGAACATTTCTAGCCAGTGGTTGACATTTAAATTACTTCCAAGTTAACAGTAAATAGTTGGTGGTATTGTAGTTATATATAAGGCACTTTGTGAAATCAAATAATATCCTGAGTCAAGACACATACACAATGGTCAGCTTACACTCTTTCCACTGAATGATCCAACTACATAATTTCTAACTTCCAAAAATCAGGACATCGATTATTGATAGGGATGCTGCATATAAACTTTGCAGACACAATTCTTCTAACTATTCACTTCAAATCCCTAAGAAATCCTGCCACTACATTTACTTTACCTCTTCCTGAAGAAAAAATGCATAGAAGTGCCTTAGACATTCCTCCTACGAGATCTCTCATAAGAAGCCTACCTAGCATTCTTGGACTCATTCAAGAATAGTCTATATGTTTCATAAGAGTCAGGACAAATGAGTTAATATGCAGATGTTCATGGAAAAATTGAGGAAAGTTAGGAAACCCTGAGCTTTACTATACAGCTTTACTCACCCAAAATGTTTTCATGTCTCATCAACACTGTCTGATAGATCTCTGTCTCTCGGAACCAGCTGGCTTCCTCCGTGGTGAAGAACACTTTCACAGCCACCTTTTCGCCACGCCATTTTCCCATCCAAACTTCCCCATAACGACCTTTACCAATCTGCTTCACCATTTGAATCTGCTTAGCTATAGTCCTTTGAACCTATTGAATCCCAAAACACACAGTTAGTATAGTCACTAGACACCAATTTGTTTCACCTTTTTCTTCCACCAGAGGAGAAATAATTACTGAATGTAAAATACATTTTGGCAGTGATTTTTCCATATATAGACAATAAGTTTATTAATTTATACTGTCTTCTTTTAAATATGCTTGAGATTAATTTTGAATTATTAATGTTTGAAATATTGTACATTATTAGGTATTTCATTCTATCTATTATCATTTTCATAGAGGAAAAAAAAATGGTGTGTGGAATCACAGCTATCAGCAAAATACTTAAACCTTCCAGCACTACAGTGTAATACCAGATGGTATGAGAGGCTGCTGCATTATACACCGCATCACAGAAACACAAGCATATACTGCATGGATGGGAATACAAACAAATAAAGATAATCTACAGGTAGGGAAGACAGGAGGAAGGTGGAGGGGGGTAAGCAGCGAGGGAAGGAAAGAGCAAGGGAAAAGAGGGAGAGCAAAAAGTAGGCAAGAGAGCTCTGACACCAGAGCTCAGAGCTGGCAGTGAAAACAAACATACATGCAAGTGGTTTTCAATCACTAAAAGTGAGAGTCAAGAGAAATAACCCAAACATATTAGACATTCATACTACAGATATCAGGATTGTCGGAGGGAAGATGTTGGGGAACAATACAGGAAATATGAAAAGAAATACCAGTTAGATGAAAAGTAAACACTCATCCAGAAATTATTAAAAATTATATTCTGAAGTGAAAAGTTAATTGTCATCATAGAACACAGAAAGTAGAAAGATGAAAGAGTTAAGAGCTGAAGAGAAAGTTAAAATAAGACAACACTGAAAAGGTACAAAAATAAAACATGAGCATTAAATTTCAAAGAATTTACACGTTTTTGAGGTCATTTTCATACTATTTGTGCTTATACTAAAATATTTTAAGGATTTTTTACTAACATTTTTTCATGGCAATTTCCATAGCTGGAGAGACGTATACATAGAAGCTACTGCAGATGAAACCCTGGTCAGAAAACTGGAACACAATATTTGCAGACAGGCTTTGCATCATCAAATAAACTTCAACTGTTGCATTTTTGGATGTTATCTTAAAAACAGTTGATAAACACCATTAATTTTTTTTTGCCACCATAAACTCTAGATATCAGGATTTGTGGGTACAAATATTCTGCCTGCAATGTATGCCAACCAGCTAGGTTGGATTCTGTTTTTTGTATAATTAAAAAGGCAATACCATCCATTAGTACCATTCATGGCACTAATATCAGATTGAAAGCTTCGGCAGAAAGATAAAGTTCTTTTTTCTTTTTTTATTTTCTAAAGGAAGCATTGAAACATAAAAGCATTGCTGACACACCGTTGAGCCACCCAGCTCACAGGAATTAAGGAAGCAAGTGCAATGCAGCCTGCCTTCCTATGGGACTCAAACGTGTTATTTAAAGAAGGAAATGTCCTTCCATTTCCATTCCCAAGTGAGAGAACAGACTATATGCATTTGAGAGCCAAATCTCCAGGAAGTGAAATTAATGCCTGAGGGTAAGCTTCCCATGTTTAGTTTATAATTTTTTTTTATTTTTATTTTGTTCACAATTTTGACTTTATTTCATTCAGTCAAAATTATTACCTATGAACTCTTGGATTGTGCTTCATACATTCCCAATCTTCTAAAGGTGACGCATCCCAATTACTCACATGTCCACCAATATTTCTATTTTCTAGTAATATGTATTTTTTTCACAGTGTAAGTGTTTCTGCCTGGGAGTGGCCATCACCGTTTTCCTACCACCACCATTGTGGCCACATTCCTCCACAATACTCTACCGCCCTCTCCTTACCCCTGTACTTGCTTCTCCCCCACTCTATCCCTCCCTCTGTATTTATTTAAAAACTGTATATCTAATTTACAGATGTTACAAAGATGTTGCTTGTGTAAATCTATGGAATATTTCCTAACATTAATAGCTTTGCAACTGCCTCTTTTTATAAGTTGACTAAAATACTGAGGATACTGACAATACTTAACAGAAGAAAAACATCTCAATGGTAAAAAGTATCCCTAAATTATAATTACAAATTTAAAATATACTGATTTTGAGACTTATTCTAACACCTAAGGGCCTGGAAATATAATTTTAAGAGTTTTATATCTATGTGATTTTGAACTTCATTTGAATTAGCAAATGTTTCTCATCTTTCACTACCCCTAAACATTCCCTCTATATTTCATTCTTTGATAACTATTTTGTAAGTTTGAATGCAAAAAATAAAAAGTCTCTAAGATATAATTACTGCATTTTTGATTCCAAAAGGAGAAAATCATTTCATGTAAGCTAGGTATAACTGTGGTTTAAGGATTTATAATGATTTACTATTATTATTCAAGAAATGTCATCTAGTAATCATATCCACCAGTCTCTAATGTTTGTCCAGGCATATCTATCCATATCTATAATCTATATCTATATCTATATCTATCTATGGGAATAAGAAAACATGTATCTGTGAGTAATGTGCTCTCCTTTCTTTGTGTCCCTGAATCAGCCACACACACACACAGACACACACATATACTATTTAAAATAATTTGCCTAATAAGATCGATTGAATAAAACATGCTGGAAAATTTGTCATGCAAGTTTCCTTTAGTGTCTTAATGTTAAATAAAAGCATTCACAAGATCTGTTATGTGGTCTTTTGTTCATTTTCAAGGTCAGGTACATAGAGTATAAATGAACATGTCATATATCATTCATCTATAGAGATGTCTATTAATCGCTAGCTATATAAGCCTACCTGTATATAAGATACTTATGTGTATATGTGCATATCTAACAAATGGAAGACACATATACTATCTTAACTTTTACCACCATCCTAATAGTCTTTCCTTGAAGAATTTATATACAAAGTCACTTAGTAAACAGAAGGTCCAAGTATGTGAGGGCATACACACACACACAGAATTTTTCCCTTATATTAATGAAATAAGTGACATATCAGTATTAAGGTGGGAGAGTCAGCATTTGAAGAAAATATTTCACACATTTGAATTTTTAACTTAAAAATCAAATCTTAAAACAGGATCTGAAATCTGTAATACTGTAACTTTTTCTTTACTGTTTTATAGAATCCTTCCCATCCTGACCCTATCAAGTATATTTCTTTGTTTTATTTAATTAACACTTAGTTCACATTTCGCAAATGCTGGTGGCACAAAATTTAGCATAGACCATCTGTACTGATTCTAGCTAGTTTGCCAACTGGATCCAGGCCCTCTGATATCCAGGCACACAGTGCTAATACTACCTCACAGCATTGCTATGAGCGTGAAATGAGATCATACTGTAAAGGCCATTGTCTGGTCAGGATAGGCATGCTGGAAATTTGGCTACTGTACACCATTTCATGTTATAAGCTGATTGCTATTTTTCTGGCATCTATGTTACTGAGTATAGGAGTAATAGTATTTTCATAAATATTACAAGTTAGAATTGACAGCTTTTAAAACAAATTATTGAACAGCCCCTGGCATATCAGGTACTCCACTGAGGACACAAGGAGTTCCACCCCTAAGGAAGTGCATCCACCTAACAACAGATGCATGACAACTACTTTTAAGGCTGTTTTAAACTGCTATGTTGGTACTAAAAGCAAAATGTAATAAACAGAAAACAGAAAGGCTAGTGAGATAAGTTGTCATAGAGATAAAGTATATGATGACAGGCCTTGAGCCATGCATGCGAACTACTTTCAAGAAAGCCATTGCATTTATCAAAATATAATCTGCAAAAACTAATATTTTTGAAACAATTACTCAAAGCTGATGCTCAGGTCACAGATGGGGAAGGAAAGATGGGCATGAGGCCTGTGCTGACAGTGTGCACAGCCACCCAGGGAAGACCCATGGCCACGAAGGAGGACTAGACTATTCCACCCTGGGAGGTGCCAGAGCAAGGGCAAGGATTTTAGAGAGCATTCCTCAGTAATGGTAGAAGTGGAGCAGAAGGAAGAAAAGACACAGTGCCAATTTCAGGAGCAAGGCATCTGACAAATACCAAAGGGGTTTTAATATTTGTGCCTTACCTTCTTTAAAAAAAAATTAACTACAGATTTTTAAATGTAACAGTAGTAGCTGCTAATTATTAATTAAATTATAAGACTAAACAATCAAGTAATTTTCTAATATGTAAGAACTTATATATTAAAAAATATTCTAAACAGCATAGTCTTGGCATGGATGATTTCAAAAAGTGTTTACTGTCTGGTCTAGGACCTCAAAGGAAGTATCATGCAAAGAGCACAAAATTTCATTTAAGTCAGACAAATAACTCCAAGCTGTACAGCACAGTGCCTACAATTCAACAAAAGAATATTATATTCTTGAGAATTCCTGATATTAGATCTCATATTCAGTTTTCTTATTGTTTAAAAACAGTAATAGCAAACTGAAGAGGACAAAGGAACTCCTAGGGCAGATGGGCATGGATAGGGCATAGACTGTGATGATGGTTTCATAGTTACATATTATTTCTAAACTCTTTAATTTGTGTACTTTAGACATATACAAGTTTTATATATTAAGATTTATGTTTAGAAATTTAATAAAACATTAAATATATAATTTAGTATTAATATATTATATATAATAAGATATATTTAAATGTTATAAAATTAATTCATGCCTTAAGATTAAGGGAAATGTTCCTTTTAGTACTAAGTAAAAGGGAAATAAAGGAATTAAGCCAACAAGATATCTAAAGACTACAGAAGTAGGAAAATCAATTGAAGATATTACTAAGGAAAGTGGTTCTTATGAATACAGTCAACAACCTTTTTGCATAGCCCATAAAAGAGCAAATATTTTTCTCACTAACTGTCTTGGAGTCAGTATGCTTTTTCAGGCTTGGCAGTGCTAACCATCATAAAATGAAACCTCCCAAGTGGAAGTTGGGAACATCCTTTCACCCTGAAATATACACCATCTAGCTGAACAGCAGCCTTCTTCTCATGTAGAAAGATTCAAATCTTTACTGGTTGCAATACTTTGTCTTCAAATTAAGATTAAAATGCAATAATACTATCCTTATTGAAAACAGAGGGAAAATACTCTGTTTATAGTTTTGTAACTGCTTTTTACCAGAACATCTGAGGTTATGGATTGTAACCATACACTTAAATTAAAAAACAATCAGTTTATCCCAACATATCAAAATATTATCAGAATCCTGTATCTGAGACCTGGTGTCTGACTGGATGGCATGAAACTTTCTCTTTGCTTGCTGTCCTGTATCTACTGACATTTCATCTCAGAAGACATTTCCTTTGAATTCACAACATATTTTTCTCATACCAGCAGAGGGAGGCCTGATCCACTTCCTGAGCTTTGGGATTGCTCAATCAAATCTCTCAGGGACTCTCCAGGAGGGATGTATGTTTCATCCTGTTCTAACCCAATGCTATAACGAGGCCTGGCTTCTTGTCTTTTATACCTAAAGATGCATAAAGATAATTTTAATCACTGAATTAAAATGAATAGGGGAAAACAGTAATCACACCAAATTTTATTTTATCACATACATACAATAGAAGCTAAATGGTTAGCATTCATTATGCTTAGTTATTATTTCCAACATACAAATTATAATTATTTTGCTAACATATTTTTTAAACTATGAGTTGTTATACAGTCCCAACCAGTTATCATTTTTCTTCTCTATACCTTTCAATTGCCTATATCCAAACAGCTACATTCCAGTAATGTTTCTGTGTAACTCTAATATTCATTCTTTACAATAATTTTATTCAAATTTTTAATCAGTTAAAGCTCATTGTTTATGACTGTTACAGTAATTCATCTAAGTTAATGTACAAAGTAAATAATATAGCAGCACATGAAATCAATCTTAATTTAAAACATTTTTATCAATAATAGTCTACAAATAGAAATCTTCCATTTGCAGAAGACTGCTACAAATAGTATTACTAAAGGTAAATGCTAAGTATTTAAAAGATCTTTACTGATTAAAAATAATTTTGTAACTACCATCACTCAATATAGTAAGAACTTACTTTATCTTGACAATTAATCTATAAGGAACTCTTACAACTTTCATTACATAGGAGAAATTCTAAGTTCATAATAAAAGGAATTATTAAAAAGATTTTAAGTTTTACATGGCCATTCCTCAGGCATGGTCAAACCTCAGGCGCAACTGAGTTGCTGTAGGGATGGAACCAATTTGAGTGATTTTGTTATCTGTAGCTGAAAGAGGTAGGTATCTATATATAACTTCATTAGAACAATTTATATAAATTAACAATTGGTGTTATTGAAGTAAGAGATTCTAATTAGGTCAAAGAAAGCTGTGCAATAGTTGCAAATCAAGTACAGTAGTTGAATGGAGAATTTATCATAAACTCAAAACTTGACATCTGCATGTTTCAAACTTACCTGAAGTAACAGAATAAAATGATAAGAACCAATAGCAAACTACAGACAGTCACTGATATAAGTAAGGCCTTGTGATGTATAGGTCCATCAACAAAATCTGAAATTAAAAAGTAAAGAAAACTATAATATGTAGAATATTTTCACTTAAAAATTAGGAAACAATCCTTTCCAAAAAGTGCTTGCTAAATGCAAGTTATGAGAGATTCTGAATCATCATTGTTTTAGGAACTCATTTTGAGAGCAATCATTCCTAGAAGAATCTGCTGGAATTGTTACTTCTGGATGGAGTAAGACTAATATATGATAGAAGCACCACCTATAAATAAATGTACATTAGCCAAGGCTCATAAAATATAAGTAAACGGCTTATTTTTCTTAGTAGGTAGTTTATCCTTAGTATCTTTATTTACAGGCTTTTCCTCATGTTTCTGGGGCATTCTGTATCATGAATATAATACAGACTAATCTACATTGATAGAAACCAAAGTCATCTAATGGTGGGGAAAAGGAAGCAGGATAGAGAGCCAGGGAGGGAGGCACATGGAGCAGAGACATGTGGAAAATGGAACTTGTGCTGAAACAGATGTAGGGGGAGGCCCATGGGGAAGTTGACTATGACAGCTTTTATCTTAATTTTGATTTTGCTCTTAATTCCTTCCAGACTTGTCTGGCTGTTTCTGACCCTTTTTTATGGGTCTCCACCAGGTGGGGCCTAAGACTGTAGTGGGCTTTTGAGCCTCAGTGGCCCAGCTTTGGACCAACCCTGTTTGGCTGGGCATTTACCCATGAGGGGATGGGTAACTTTGGGTGCTTGATTTGGAAACTAAATTCCTTGCCTTTTTTTATTGCACACTAATTGTATTAAAGTTCCTTTCAATGAATGGTCTTATACTCTAGAAAATGTTTTATCTTGATGCAGTGAACAGCAGGTTTGGGGGTTCTGGGATGCTTCTCACTTTGCCCCTGTAACACTTAGTGTAACCAAATCTAAAGACTAAAAGTAAAATGCTGGAGTCCAGTAACTAGGGGGAAGGGAAAGGGAAATGGAAAGGAAATACTTAATGGGGGTAGAGATAAAGTTATACAAGATGAAAAAAGCTGTGGAGACAGATGGTGATATTTCTAATTGTGCATTACAATTTTTTGCAGAGTTTATACTACTGAACTGTACATTTTAAAAATGTTAAGTTCTGTTACATTTTACCACAACAAAAGGCTAACAAAAGGCTTTGTAACGTATTGATTTATAACTAAGTTGTTTTCATTTTTAATGATGGCCCATTTCCCAAGCTAATATTTTTTTTTTCCTGCAACATAAGCTTTAAAGACTACATAGTACAAACAGATATGTTCTAATTAGAACATCAACCTTCTGTTGTATATTTAGGAGACTGCAAGTACCTTGTGATGAAATATCACTGCTGTAATATATAAAATTCAGTGATGAAAACTCTTACGGTATATCTTATTGGCACATACGAATGACTATTTCCTTAATCTATATTTCTAGATGTGGAACTATTAACTCAAATAATAATGTTTTAAGTCTTTTTTTACATGTTATATAAAAATATCTTTTAAAGGACTATAAGTTTCTATTTCACCATCAATGTAGATATATATTTTTATTATTTCGAAATTTCAGGCTTATAAAATCCTGTAGGGATAAAGAACACTGATATTTTCTTCACAGAGGATTTCCAAATAAATTTTCTTAATTACTTGTAATTTTCTTAATTTCTCCTTTTGTATATATACCTATCTCTTCATAAAAATATTTTTATATGTATTTTATTCATATGTATGTTTCTTTCTTTGTATATATGTATGGTTTATGAATCTCTTGAAGTTCTAGGCACAATGTCCCAGTTCATACATGCTTGGCAGTCTACTTCCTAAATGCAATGATGTTGTGATGGTAATACCAAGTGATAATACCAATACCAAAATCAGGAAGGTACCATAAAAACATATACTTGAAATAAATCTTACTTGAAATATTTCATATAGTGTTTGAATTAGTTATTATAAAAACAAAAACTACAGAATCGAATACTAATTTTTATGGCCATAGTCTTGTTACTGGTCAATGTTATAAGTCACTTAGCAATATAAAATACATATTAATAACTAGCTATGATCGATGATATAACAAGGAGCTCCCCAGGAAAAGGGGAGATTTCAGGTTCTCTACTCACCCAAGGAAGGGCAGAGCTGAGCAGGAAGGAGTAGCTGGGGAGATTGGGGAAGGACAGATGAAAGGTGGGAGGCAAAGAAGAGACCCAGAGGAGGCACATGGAGCAGAGAGAGATGTGAAGAAGCTGTATTTGCTTCTTGGTTCGGAATTGTACCAGGAACTTGGGGAACATGGAAGGAAACACTTAAAACAGACATGGGTGAGAGGCCCATGGAGCAGTTATCAATGGTGACTTTTATCTTCATTTTGAAATTTTCTTCCTTCCACACTTGTGCT